TGCCTACTTGCTCTAAGTGCGGTCTGGACGCTGAAGCCATCAGTCGTGAATGAAGTGGATAAATCTTTGTATGTACGAAGATAGTGTTATATTCTTCTGAAAACGCTTGTGTCAGGCTTGACTACCAATCCGAACATCTTTATATGTTGTCTTGATAAACATGGCGTAGAAAATCATTTTGGGAAATGATACACACGACAACAGCAAACCGTTTTTTTTCATGAAAAAGATCCCTTTTAGAGTTAAACAACTTACCTCTATTGGTTCTGAACCATTTTGTAATTTGCAGCGATCGTGCGTTTAGATTTTGAAATAGTAACAGCCTGTGAACATCTGTTCTGGTACCATCGCACATTAAACGAATACACACACGTGCGAACAATTCGGTCCTACCATGTTAGACGCCAGTCGTTTATGCAAGCAATATGCGTCCACCTCATTGGCATTCGTGTATTCAGATTAAATCTTCTGAGTGGTTCCGCAAGACGTGTTATTTTTAATCTTCATTTGCAAAGGAATTTAAATATAAGTGTTTCTGAACTATTTGAGTAAGACTGCATATACTTTTGCTCATCAGTGGTACAATGACAATGAACTCGTAATTTAATCTCTGTGCGAAAAAACACTTCATACTCTCCAGTGATGGATCGATTGACGTTGTTATTTCGATTCTGCTTCAAGAACAAAAAGAAGCCTTGTGGTCTAGGTTCTGTATAGTGCCTAGGGATGAATGCGTATCATCTACGCTATAGGTCAGAAATGCACACCCGCCAGGTACGCTGGTGTGGGAACAAAAATCCATAGCTCGGACAGTGGTCGGAAACTACCTCAAATCAGCACCTCGATAAATAGCCTAAACCGGGTGACATAAATTGTCTTAAAATATGGTCGTTGTGGACACATCAAATTAGGTCCTCCATTTGCTTCAACTGATCATTCCAACAAAGTTTTAAGGACATTCACCTCATGCACTTTCGCCTTTGACCTGCAAATTCATTTGACTGCGCAGTATGGTCAGGTAGATTGGTTGTACTTGGCATTTATGTAGCCAGCAAAAGACATATTGCACCAAATTTCTTCAACTGAAAGGTACATCTTGCCATAACTTTTTCCAATGCGAATGACATCAAAATGCAGCGTGATATAACTTAGTGCATCCTCCATCCGTAAAGTGCGTCAAAGTAAACTTTGACTTGCATTTTTGAGTGCAGAGTCAAACGCTTGGATGTACGTTTTTACCTAACGGCTCTACTGCGCAGTAACTTGGGTTGAAGCCATCCATGGTAGCCCATAACAGAACTGTTTCGATATCTATACGTGCAATTCAACTTGAATGGCAAAGTCCGACTGGACAGCTAATGAAAAACTGAGGCAAAATGCACTACCAACAAAGATTATGCAGTCCGGCGGCTTCAAATTCACACACCTGTCCGTCAGTTTCGCCTTGTTTTGAGCTAATCGAGTCAGCGTAGATCTCGGAACCTGAAAAAGTGATCCCCAATTTGAAGAACAGTTTTGCTGAAAGTTCACTGTTGGAGTGAGGTGCTGTAACTGGAGACAAGATGGGATCTGAGGCCAACCGGGGATAGTGAGTTGTCATCCCATGAACCTTTGTATTACGCAAGCGAAACCGAACTTAATATCCCCTCTTGGAGCCCCGAACTACATCTCATTTGGAAGAATATCACAGGGATATTAACCACAATTAAGCACATGGAATCTTCAGTTTCAGCAACTCTTACATCTATGTGGACTCCCGGGTGAACCATCTAACTCCTGTTTAAACGTTAAACCCAAAATTATATCAGTAACCCAGCTGTCTGTGGTTGTAAATGTCTTAGTTTTGGTCACTGTCTTATAATAATGCCTGAAGCAATCTGCAGTCTGAAAATAAATTACACAAAGCATTTACTTCACAGATTTCTGTAAATTTTTATTTTTCGTTTCACTATATTTTCAATTCTTCTCTAAATACCCTAATTTATTATGGAAGAAATGTTGATAGCGAAATGGTCAATAACTTTCTATGACAGCGTCTTTCTCTGTACTCTATACACTGCCGAATACCAGCGAAACCTGCTGCTTGTTTATTCATTGTATAAACCTGAAAGTCGGTTGTTTTGAATTTCCAGGATCTTGGCCCAGACATTATCCCTATCTTAATAACCTTCTGTTAAATCGAGCCCGGAACTTCTTGGGTCCGTTAATACAACAGCAGCCTGAAATGTAGCGTTCATCTCTTGGTGAAGCTTTCACAAGCATGCGCTGAAGGTGTGGTAATATCTCCGATGACGGATTTATAACAGTCAACCTAGATGAGAAGATGATTCGGAATAATATATACAAACCATGACGGTCATCAAAAGAGCCAATTCTGATCCGACAGATGTAAGAGAGACGCATTCCTACTTAGATCATTTAATCCCTTTTGACCAGCTTAGCAACGAGAGCTGCAACTGAACCAAAAGCACGGTACGTGAATCGAAGTCTACGATACCAAGCAGTTATTAGTTCATGCATGAATACTTCGCGATTCATATTTCTAAGGGCCGTAAAAGTGATAGTTTTGTTTTGCTGAGCTAAAATTTAAAAAAGAACGAAATTACTTGAAAAAGTAAGCTTTGTCCAATGATGAATTCTCACAGCGCGAAACATCTTTCAACTGTGCGAGCGAATTCATTTCTGACACTCAGTTGCGTAGATGAAACGGCATGCTGTCCGTATGGTTAAAATAATCTCACTGCCACAGGGCCCAGAATCATACACTTTCCTCTTGACATGAATATAAGATTATGAGTGTGCTACATCCAGAGCAGACCATCACAAGGCCTTTGCTGCGTACCATGAAGGTATGCCCCACTATGAAGTGAAACCGCGTCTAAGTACGCTGCTGTTTTCTCTGTAAAGTGCACCGACTCCATCATTGGTTGTGTTTGGTTTCAGGCACCGATTATAACACTTATAGCGATAAAACAGTAGTCTGAGAAAACACAGAACAACCGAACCCATTAGCAAGATGCCATTTACTCTGGTACACGAACGGGCCTTCGAGACCTCTTCTGAATTCCTCTATGGTTCACGGCTGAAACACTGCTGAATTGCATAGTGAACATTCATAACAGCTTCGTTGAGCTCTCATAAATGACGAAGCATTGTAAGTGCAAATGTTGATGCCTGACTGCAGTGTCTTAGTTGGCCAACACATTGTGGAGACAGGTCCCTACTGATAACCAGCCCACTTTGTTTCAGGCCAGATTGTGGAGTACTCAAATCAGGTTTCTTCTCTGATCCAAATACGCTCTCCAGTCTTACGTGGGAATGAAAAGTAATCTCCTGAGATGAGACAGCCGCGAAAAAAACAGTCAAAACAAATTACTGCCTTGACATTGGAAATGGATATTCTATTCCAACAGGCCTCACAACCCGCCATCTGCTGATTGAAAAATTCATTCAAACGTATGCTGCCTAACTACATCTACATTTAGGCCAAATCTGATGCACTTTGTGACGGCTAAACAGCATAGCTTCATCACGACAAAAATCAACAAATTTACCTAGTACTAATTTATGTTTCATAACTAAGTTAACCCATCATTTTCTACCAGTCGTTTCATCGTATATGGTCAGAGGCTCTTTCAGAAGAGATATCGAACATTCCTGAAATTCTCTATGTAGAAGTCCCTAATTCAGCAAATAAAAGGGATCAGTAAATTTAAAGGAATACCTCAAGTTTTACTAAGTAAATATGTCATAGAAGGAGCACAATTAACAGCAGTGCGTGTTGATAAACAGGGTAAAATACACTTTCGACAAATTCAGTTCCGTTTGCCAAATACATTCATTTGTAAACAAATTTGGTTTTGCGATAGACTCACCCGGAACCCAGCTGAATCTCTCGCTTTTGTTGTTTACAATTTATTTTTACGGGAGACTTCATGGAAACTCGCATTTATGAAGAGTCTACAGCAACCTTGTTTGTAGTTTCCTTTGTGAAGGGCAAACTGCACGCCTTTCACTCTAAGAATGGCAGGGTAATAGAAGTGAGAGATGCACCTTGTTGTGGCAAAATGGAGACAAGTAAGGTTGAATGTAATAACCTGCAAACATGGAATTTTTCACTTGGCAACCTCGTGATCAGCGGTTTGGTGGTTGGCCAGCAATCATTCGTGGACCTGTTATGGAACATGGAATCATGTTATATAAAGACGAGACGCGAAGTCGGCCTCATCGAATCAAACGACCTTTGATTTAGATGTGGAGTGGGAAGTGCGAAACAGTCAAACGTACTAATCAGTTTGCTACACTCTAATAATGTTTTTAGTCGGTGACCAAAATGTGTATCGCAACATTAGTCATAAGAGACAGCACTGACAAATCTGAGCTTATTTAGAAGCAAATTGCATATAGAGACATTATGAACGGAAAGGCGTCCAAGTATGACTTAGAAAGCACAGGCTTTCGCCTTCTGCACCGATGTTCTCAGTATATTCAAAGACGCACCAACTGGTTTGGACGCACAAATTCACCCTTCCAATTTTTTGTGATATAGCTCGGATACGGGAGTTTCCTGGTTTATATCTCCTCTGCGAATAGTTTATCATGAATAAGTTTCTTGACTATATAGCGGCATTTCCGGATATCATAGGTTTTTGAGGTCAAGTACTGCATCACAATAAACAAGAAGAAATTAGGAACGCAGAATATCTTGAATTCAAGTCCATATGAACAATCTAAGGTGAGCATAAACCCTGAATGTCAAAATGTTGCTTCCACACACTAATCAGGGAGTCCGAAACGTATTGCGTTTGGTCTTCATCATTTGTTTGTCGGCAGATGACCCAACTATTCGGACCTCAGCAGTCACTATGCTCACTAGTTTTTTGCTTATTGGTTGTCTTGCAGTCAGTACTATCTTCTACGTCCTCCTATTTGCTTTGCCTATCTTTAAAGTTTCTCGCTGCTTTTCATTGTTTTGAAAATTATCACCTGTTGTTTTTCAGGTCACAAATGCAACATTTCCGCACCCCACAGAAAGCAAAAAGTGACTCTGCACGGATGAATGACTCGCATGCCTTCCTCAAAACAGCTGTTCAATAACAGTCTAATCGTTGCTTTAATCATTCCTTTTCTGAGCCCATACCCAATAAGTAACCGACTTATCACTGCACTCTTCCCTTTGTTCAGTTTGTTGTTTATGAAGGCCATCAGCTCAATCCAGTTTAACTTTCTTGTCGTAAAAAAGGAGGTTCGATTTTTCTCAGGTGTTTTTATTCTATCGCATCGGAATGGCGTAGGTTACTGTAGAACAAAAATCCTAATTCAAAGTCCCCATGGCAATTTTTTTGTCATTATTTTCCTTCTAGTTTTTAATGTTTCCGTTACGACATGACCATATTCAGCTGTCTGTCAACGACCGACAGCTGTCTGACCGACTGGCTGACTGATGGACTCAACTAAAGCAATACTAAACGCCGAAGTAATTCCGGTGTCTTACATTTTGAAAGAAATTCCAACGTAAAATGGACCGCCCTTCCTTCTTTCGTCCAGCTTCTAGGCAAAACTTCAATGTGGATAACGTTTCTGTGGAAATTGAATCCGTAATGTGAATACCAGCACACACGCACACTCAGAATGGAGTGAAGCGGTGAAGCGATCGAAAGAGTGAGACTGCACGCAAGGGGAAGTTGTGTAGATATTATGATGATCTATGATCTATGATGATTTATGGGGCTGGTACGTGTTACCTCTAGGAAGGTGCCAAGTAGAACTCACAGAAAACGACGCAGACCATCCTTGTAAGAAAAAGCACAGAAAGGTTACTACAGGCTTTTGACATGGAATCGACTATCACTTACAGAAAAGTACCGAAGCAGTATTAGATATACATAGGACAATGCGTGTTGGTCGTATATTGAGGCTGTGGGTTCTGTCTTGGCTGCCGTAAGCTCAGTTTATCGTTTTTTTTCTAGGAACGTGTGTTACAGACACTAAAGTGGATACCCTTCACATCTCTCTATTGATTTGTTAACAGCTAAGAGACTGATAAGATTGACTGGGTCTATTGGAAAAAAACTTGAAAACACGAGGCTATCATTATTCCAATGGAAAGTGTATTCTAAAACTAATCAAGCGACTTTTTGAGGCACGTACAAAGCTCAATAGGGTGTGTTTGAAAAGGATGGATTTATTCCATGACCTTTGACGAATCGGACTGTAGGTTCATCAGTATGAGCAAAACCAAAGTCTTCGAACTCTTCTGAACCTTTTTTGTACTACATTTTCCATCTACATAAGTCGGCAGAATTTCTTACCCAGGGAAACCCATGCAAAGATCTCATGAATACTAAATCTATAAATCAACTAATTGAGATTAGTGGGGTCTAGAGCGTTGAACGAGTCTTTCATCCATTAATCTTCGTGATGAAATTCACTCCCCAACTAATGTAAGTTGAGCGAAGTGGTACCTCTAAGATGCTAGATTGATCGTTTTATCTCTTCCCTGTCAGATCATCACCAAACCGTAAACTCCTGGAATTTACTACAAAACGTCGTATCCAAGCCTGTTCTCTTCATTCAAAATTACTAACTTATTTCATTCGAAGACATACTAATGGACTAACAGTTCCGGTGTGCAGTGCGAACAGTTCTACTTGAACGATACTCGTCAATATGTTGCCATCAAATCGCCCTCAAAATTACAAGTTAGAACGAATCGCGTATGTATACGCTTTCGATCGGACAGTTGCATGTGACGAGCGTTTTGTGACGTCCTCCTACCTTCGGTTAAAATCACATGTCAGTCGATTCTCTGCTTGCAATTTTACTCGCCATGTTTTTGGCTCTAATGAAGGTCATCCAACGCCGGAGTCTCTCCGATCCTCCATGCACTCTGGAGTTTCGTGTCTGTGTATTCCAGGTAGCCTCAAATTTCGCTGTCGTGGGCACGCAGGCGTTTTGAAGCCTGACATTAAGGTTTCGGTAATACCTGCCGTGCGGCTGCGGTTGACAGGCACGCGCATCGAGTAACCCACATTATGGCTGACGCCCCCTCAGGTGTCATTCTCACAACCTAACTATGGTTTATTCCACGACCTTATTTGCATAAACGTTTCGTCAAAATAATGAGAAAGGTGAGAAGTAGCATCCTAGTACTTAAGTACAGTCATATTACGTACTATTAGTCAGTGGGCATCTTGATCACTAACTATACGTTCACACGCTTATCCCCATGCAGAAAAGTTGAGAGCTGGAATCCATCGTGGCCCCTTGCTAACGTCGTCAACTTGATAAGCCTGCACCTCCGGCATTGAATTCAAAGTAAACGAGTCCGACCAGAATCACTGGGTCTAAATAGCTTGAAGGTTTTAGAAAGAAAAAGAAAGAGCCGTCACTCGACCGTTTCCGTAAAATCCATCCAACCGAACGAACAGTCGAAATCTTTCTGCGGAATACACAATCCAGTCTCTACCCCTTGAACGCCGGAAAGAAAGTATCCCTATTTTAATTCTTTTCTCGTATTTTCATGTTATACAAGGCGATTCTTCATTTTGCAATATTGGTTCTGCGCCTATACCAACTTCCTTGCGTTTGACCTGAACACAAACCGTTCTTTGACCTTGTCATCGGACGTGTTGTTTAAGTTTCGCTATCTTGTAAGCGCGCGGCTTTGAGTTGGTGTGGACTTTATGATCCGTTAGGAAATAGCAGTTCCAAGAACGGTTCATAGAAACATGCGTAATCCCACCATTTGGGGTTTGTGAAGTTACGCTATTTTACTATTATATTTATGGTACTGCATTTGAAGATTTAGTTTTTGGGGTTTTTTTGCACGTAACTCAACGTGGCCCAACAGATTGGTAACAGCGATCTACAGTCCCGGACGTCCACCTGAATTAGAATTTTGGAACTTTGGAACCCATGTTACCGGGACAAGAAGCGGCAAGTTACTCGAAACTTTGTGAAACCCAGAAGTTCCTAACTTTACGAACGATAATTCCGACAGCACTGTTCACCATGACATTTGCGTTTCTCAGCCCCCTTTATTATGTCGACCGCCGCATTACAAACCACAGCGTCCTGTAACTTATCAAAACACCAAAGGCCCCCAAATCATTTTCGCTTGCCGTTATCTTACACTAAGTCATTCCTACAACTGTCGCACAGTTTTTGAGCAGAGTCGCAAGGGGTAATTGATAGACGGTATTTGTACCTCCTTAAATAAAACTAATATCGAGTGTTTCCAGCAGTCAGTTGGGCCATTTCGACTGATGCACAAAGCCTCAAGTCAAATAGTTCAGAAGGCTTATCAACAAACGCGGCTTTGTTTACGCTATAACAAACTTCAAATCGTTGTGCTAAACTAACCCCTATACACCGGTTAGGAACTGCCGATTCCGAGTGATCTCTTGTAAAAACGGGAAGGCAGGAAACAACATGCTCATCCAAAGCTAACACTGACTCGAGACAAAGTGACCGCAAAACAGCGAAGTACACGCGGTTGACGATGACATGTTAAAGCAAGATAGGGGGCACAGGCTCGAAAAGGATACGGCAGAAGGAAGAATCGCGTTGTTGGCAACAAAACCGTGAGAAAAGTAACTAACCGCAGCCGCTTATCCGACATCTCGCGTGTTGTCTGTCATTGGGATGTGAATTTACCTTACTAACTTCATCAACTCTCCTAATATAGTCTAGTTTTGGGAATGGATGTCTATATCTGTTAGCACAGCCACTCATGAAACAGCACAGCGCTCCCGCCTTTTGTAGAGCTGTGTGCGTAAAACATCAGGCGTTTTTCCTTCATATATATATTAGTGTTTGTAAAGGATAGTATGCACGTGGCAGCCAATCTACGACAAACTTTTCCGCGCAGTAGAGCTCAGGGCCTTATTAGTCATGTCAATTCAAGCTTAAGGTTGAAATTCGCCCGAAAATTTGTGTGCAAAGATTGATTAAAGCGAACCTCGATAAGAGTAACAGAATATGTATTTTTGGTTTGAGTCTATGCGCAGAAAGTGTCACACTACAACGAAGAGGTTCCCTTCAAACTCCCCGGCTTTGGAGAAAATTGCTTCTGGCGGATACTGATAGATGGACATACGCGTTTTCCTTTATTGCCGCTGTACCTGGTCGAGTTGCCGAATAGTGCGCAAAACATGTACCAGCGGGGAAAAATTCGCCTCAGGGACGCGATGAGTTGAGCAGACACGCTTCATGAGTTTCGGTGCTGAAGTGGTATTCCAAGGCTGGGGCTGCCTGACGGTGACCGATAATCGATGAACTGGTGGAAGCCTGATGGGCCAAGAAAAGCACAGTTCAACAATAAGTTGTGCCGGAAAGTCAGCTGCTTTTGAAGGTGGTGCTTTTAAGTTTGCTTTCTCAGACGAAGTGAGTTCCACATACACTGAAGCTACTGCCAGGGTATTTGTAACGAGCATCCGACGGAAACCAGTTGGTTGCTAATTGAAGGACCACAAGGCCCTTTCAACACCGCAAATCCATGACCTCGATCGTGACATGTGACAAGACGTCAACTTGAATCCGTCGCAAAAGGCGACGTTAAAAGATTCAGTAGCTTCTGCCTATCGATACTGACGGCTGAAGAAAAGATTATGAGAAAATCCTCACCGATGTTGGTGGCTTGGACGTCGGTGGCAGTGAGGCTCCAGGGCATGGACAATGTTGGCAAAAATCAAACGTCAGTCATTTATGAATGAAAGGACCCATACTTGTGTCGTTTGCTGCCCATAACGTTATCCACGCCACTCACCAGAAGTAAACGGAAATTGCTTGCGTTTAAACTACGGGGGTTTTGAAGTTGCAAATTTCAGGGGGGGGCGGTTCTCATCTGGTTGCTTGTAGCTTTGTGTCTAAGTGAGTGAACTTTCAAGGACTCCGACCGACACAGATTAGCATGTGACCACCAGCTTACGAGACAGAGCGCGAAATCAAGTAGCAGCCTACTTCAGCTTTCCATGTTGCTTGTCAACTGAATCATATCACCTATAGAATATCCCGCGTAAATGTCAGCAAGGTGAGTCGTCGGATAACGTGTGTAGGCGTTACCATCATCGGATGTAACAAGTGGTATCAGTTAGTCCACTGAATTTCAATAAAACACAGTTTCCGGGAAGCTCTCCTTACGTTCAATATGACGACAGAACATAATTTACCGCCTCGCGTGGTGTTGACGACAGTGTGCACCTGTGTTTATGCTCTCCATTCTTTGATACGTGCAAACAGTTCGGATATGTACATTTGATTTGCCAACAGACTCGTGAGGTGTCTTTTCCACCGGAAAAAGTGACGTCGCTAGCCTTGATTAAAACATAAGGCGCAACAGCATTGCCAGAATGAGGGCCGACCAGTGTCTTCCATCAGAATAACTATACAAGTTTTCACCTGCCTCAGCTATTCATCGTGACTGCTGGGCCAGTGCCTATGTGCGACGCTAATTGAGGCCTCAACTGTGCATGGCAGCCCAATGTAACGGCCTAGTACAGCCCTTCCCCACAACAACCGTATGCAATTTTGCTTACACTGTCTACTTACCGTAATTGCTGGGCCCTTGTATAAGGGCCACGCTGGTTGAGGCCTTTACCA